TTTTCTGGATCTTGTGCAAATTTCTCTCTAAGTTTCTAAAAACAACACACAGACACAAAAGATCAAAATCAGAAAACAACAAATTTATAGGATGGCAGAATGTCTCTCCATGGTATGGTGCCTCTGAGGCCAAATCTTGGATTTCAAGGGTTCTACCATCAGTAACAAAATTAGAAAATACTTTACCCTCAAGGACATTTATCACATTTTAACACTTTAACTTCAAAAGGGTGAAATGAAGCTTCCCCACTCCCACCCTTTTAAAAAATGTTGTGTCACTGTTCAAGCTACCTGTAACCCATCTTTGAGTGGAGGGGTGAGGAAAGATTGTTTTGTTTGCCAAACTTCAACCAGTTTGATAAATATCTCAACAATTTTTTCATCAACGTAGTTGCCTGAGATGTGCATTAACTCAAACACCAGCAGGCAAAGGTTTTATTGCTTATCCCTTATGCTCCATGATAAAAGAAATTATAAAGTATTCTTGCTACTCTTCTGAATTGGACAAATGGTGAAAGAAAATAAATTTTTAACCACGCAGTACTATACCTTTATGTTACCATTTATATCAGACTTAACAGGAGCAAATGCTGTAGGTCCTAAAACATCTATTGGACAACAACATAATGAGACAGAAAATACTAATTAGTAATTTTTTTATTAATGTTGTGGTAAAGCAAATTGAAAAATATCATCTCAGAATCTTGCTACATGCCTGGTATTTAAATTATATACAGCTCAGAATTTATAAGTATTATTTATTTAATTTCAAATGTCAGTGCTCCCCTTATACAAAGAATCTATGCACAAGGGATCTGCACTTCCTGAATTAGCTCCTGGTACTCCTGCTGATTATTATTGTAATCTATTAAATCCAGGTGGAGGGTGGGGGAAGGGGCACTCTATAATTTCTCCTCACTTTTGGTCAGACAAAACTAATAGCTCTATCAAAGTTGCTGTTTAAAACACAGCCACCATTTTGAGGATTTATTTTAAGCATGCAAATATTTCATCGCCTGTCACATTCCTGACAGGCCATCACATGCTCAAATAGGATTTGACCAGATCTCCCCTTCAAAGTCCAAAAGAAATCTGGGTACAAGGTCACATTTAGGTGAGTGAATGCATCATATATAAAAATAGTGGTTCCATTCTATGCTGTGGTAGCAGGGTACGTAGGGGTTTGCTAATGTATGATAATGAGTTTAAATCAAGGGAAAATATAATTTAAAACAAGGATAAAATTGAACCACAACATACGTATGTACCCATTACCATAGATTAAAGAAAATGACCATGTACAAACACAAATACTTTGTGAAGAGAGATAGATCACACTTGACAATCTTGACAGCCGGTAGGCAAGTTCTTAAGGGATCAACCAATAATCCCAAGGATCAAGAATTTGCTTGCCAGTCACTCTCAACTTTATTATTCTGATCTCTCTGATAGCATCACATTCAACCAAGTTGGTTTTGCACTACACCGCTGGTTTCATCTACAACCAAGCAGTGCATTTTACATTCTGAATCCACGTCATCACCACTCGTTCATGTTCATAATTTTTTAGGTGATCTCGATATTTTCGACATTTCTATCTTTCCGTACAACAGATCTTACGTTTTCTCAGTCAATACTAGAGAGTAAACAACAGGGTTTAAAATCAATCTTTTATAAGGGTAATCACTGCTGGAAATAATGATGATGCACAAAATTCAGATTAGCTGCATGATCTTAAAGTTCTATCCATATTTGTTCTAGAGAAACTTATGTATCTTACCAAAGGCTACTCACCAAAAAAGGGTACTACTTCACTGGCAGCATCTAAAAATGATTTTGTCTCTATTCTACTGTCCTCAGGAACTGGCAAGAACCGATGAGTTGCCTCCGAAAAGAAAGACATGATTTCCGTGACAAAAGCCGTTTAGGGTCAGCTCGTTTTTAACTGGCGTACGGCCAGGGGGTAGGGCCGGTAAAGCTCTGTTGAATTTTCCCTATATAGCGGTTTAAACATTAAAGCGCATAAAATTTAGTTTCAAATCTATTCTGATTTGATAATGATTTAAAGGTTATCATGATTTAGCACTTTTACCGTTAATTTTGCCACATTTTTGTGTTTATCTTCTATACCTACCCCTCCACGCTAAGTACATTTTGTCGTCTCATTCATTCGGACCAGGAAGAGACTACGCGGAATTGTGGGAAATGTTTTGTTCAGTTTATATGCTAACATGGCGTCTGAATCAGGACGTATTCAAGTCCGTAAAAATGAGGTGAGAACTAACGATTTTTTCAGTTTTTTAACTAGCCATGATGTTGTTTTTATTTTGTAAGACGAAATGTTTTCGAGAGCTTAAAAACAACTTAATCTTTCCATTCATCAAACGTTATGACATCAGTCACGTTTTCATTCACAACTCAAAATGTGTAAATGGAAAGTCTTATTGTCATTTACGTGCATGCATGCTCTGTTTCTCTGTTTTCTCTCATTTTAAGATCGTTTGGAATGAAAGCCTATTTTAGGGGAAACGGAAAGTTTGGGGCAGTCTAGCTTCACATGTTTTGTAGTTACGCGGAAACAAAATAAGTTGACTTCCCTGTAAAACCAGTGCCCACACTTCACTCTTTGTTCATAAACAGCACGCGTGGCCCATTTCGATTTTAATAAACTTGATGTTCATGTATGGTAAAAGACCGAGGCTTTTCACATTTTTTAGATAATTTAATTACACTGAACTGTCATTTGTCCATGTAATAAATTTTCAAAAACATCTACAGTAATATACGTACATTTAGAGTATTGTTCGATATTACAAGCGATATTATAGACATTTATCGAAGTAAAAGGGAAAAAGTGTAAGTGGTTATCTCATATGCATGTAACCCGCAAATTCATGACGTTGATTCAGAATTTGTAAAGTACAGGAAAAACAATATTTATGAGGAAAATTGTAAAGCCTCAGCACCTTATCAGCAAGCTTTGTATTATACTATCACAGCGAACAACTATTGAAAGAATTATTTAAACAGCTTATTATTTGATGCTGTTTTTAAGAAAAAAAAACCAGCTCAGATTTTTATCATACAATGGAGACATGAAGGTTCACACTTAAGGGTTTTATATTGTATTTACTTTACCAATTTTCATTTTCTTAACTTCCTGAACAGCTTAGAGTTGCTTGCTACATAACCTGACCCTATGGACAGCTGCTTAGTATGTTTGAGCATACCTGTTCTGTTCCTTTTCATAGGTTTTACTTCTTAAGAATGGCCAACCCATCCTTAGAGTTGAGCGAGGGACAACTTTGAGTGTCATCAAATTGCTCTATCAAGCTGACCCTAGAAACAAGGGAACCGTGATAGGTTTGAGGCCAGAAACAGATGAACCATTACCATGTGTGCTGACACTAGATCATTCTCCACTAGAAGAAGCAAAATATGAATTGATAACTCATGGTAAGGGGAACTATCATCAGTCTATTGCTGTTTCAGGTCAATTCTGTTCTGAAACAATTTAAACTGGCACCTTTACCCATACTTAAAATGCTGCGTGCACACTAACAACTGTAATTTTTTGGTGGTTTTTGCAGGCATGACATTAATTTCCAATATCCACACCCATTCTTACCATCCATTGCAACAGACAACAGTTTCAAGGCTTAAATGTAGTCTTGAGTAACAACACTGGACCATTATGAAAAATTTCAGCAAATAGCCTGGCATAGCCCCTTTTAAAGTGCCTTTGTTTCAAAGGAGAGTGAAGAAAAGTGTGGATTTGACAAGAATCATTTTTGTTACTGACATATAGATCACTAACATGAATCTCATCTTACTTTAATTCAGAAACATCCTCACAAAGTTCCAGTCACCCAGCCAGTAAAGAAGAAGTTGTCACCGGGGCATTTCATGATGGAAATTCTTCAAATCTTTCAAACTCATTTTATTCCCAAGCATCAATCCACTCTTCATACGAAACATCGTCAGCTTTACCACAGATGGTACACACAAATCATGGAACTCCTCTAACAGTCAATATATCACCAGAAAGTAACCCTAAAAAAAGCTTAGTTTATCAAAGAGAGAGCAATGGCAGCTCACTGCTTGTAGCCAGAAGTGACAATGATCATTTACCTTCTCATTTAAGCATCTTTGCATCGTCACGCAGGAAGAAAACAACCTCTCGCAAATCAGTTATCCCCCGTAAAGTTTCTCCTTCTTCTAGCCCTAATCCAATCCTAGCTAATAAATCCATTCACAGAATACCTTTTCAAAGAGAAAACGGCACTAACTTAAGAGATGAACAATTAGGAGACAAAAGGGCGAGATTTGGTGAACATGGTGACTCGCCTGGCTTATGTGATAGCACAGAAAATGGGAATCCTACATTACACATGGAGGAGACAGATAACATGGACTTGTCAGCAGCTCAACACAGAGAAAATGGGGGAAGTGCTGCTGCAGCCTCCTATTCAGTGGAAGATGCGACTGGTATTTCTAATTTTCCAAACTTGGAAAGTTCCTCAACTAATGGTTCAAGTCCTGCTGTTAGTGATGACCATCCAGTCATCATTGATGTGCATAGTGACTCAAGGGAAACTAGTGGAGGAGAAAATGATTCTGATTCAAACTTTGTAAGTTTAGAGAATAGTCCTTCACACAATCATCCAAGTATTGCCCAGAGTTCACGTGGTAACATTAAGGAAGTTTTACCTAGAGCTAACGAAGAAGCACTCTCTTCACACACATCACCAGTCGTGTTGCTGCAAAGCACAGTTTTGGTTAAAACAGAACCTAATGAATTCCTGCCAACAACAGATAGTCACTCTTCAGAGCAGAATAATAGAATACATTTACTTCACCCTAATGAAAAAAATGACTATTCTGAAAATTGTGGCATGGTGCGCAGGATTCCTACTGACAGCTACTCAGTTGTTTTGCCTACTAGCTCACAGGATACCCATCCCAGCTCACTGCCAGGTCATCAGGAGCCTCCTGTGATGCCACGGGTTGTAAATGTTGTTGGTTCATCTCCAGATCATAGTGAATCAACAGAGGAGTCTCATTCTCAACCCACTGATGACTACATGTTACCTAAAGCATACAGCTGTGATATCTGCCATAAGCGGTTTGACTCAGCCAACTCTATGATGCGTCATAAGCGCTCTCACAGTGGAGATCGGCCCTATATTTGCAAAATCTGTGGATGGGGTTTTAATTTGAGTGGCAATCTTAACCAGCATCTGGCTATTCATCAAAAGGTAAAGCCATTCAAGTGTGTCTATTGTGGAAAGACTTTCGCACGGTCAAATGTCCTGAAGGCACATGTTCGTTGCCATACTGGCGAGCGTCCATACCAGTGCCAACTTTGTGGCAGCAAATTTATTATTGGACACAATCTAAAGAAACATATGTTGACACGACATGGTATAAAGGAAGATGGCCCAGAGGAAGTAGGATCTCACAATGGAGAGAATCAGAATGAAAGCACAAGTGTCCCTGAATTGTCTCAAGCATATACATAAGGAAATTTTTAATTCTGTAGACTTGTTCAGTTCCTCAGGTTAATTGTGATCCAAATTGTCCAAAAGTGTAGTTCAAACATTAAAAGACAACCACCAAAAACTGAAAACTACACTGGTATTTATCATAGTGTTCATCTCAAATAGGTTGAGATGTCAAATAAATTCTTACAAGCTCCAGGTATCTGCAAAGCTTTGCTTATAGCTGAAATTTGGAGAATCGTTCATGGGTATAGGGGGATTCCCATAGAAATAAAAAAATAAATAAATGCTAGGTGTAGATAATGTTGTAGATAAACACAGATTTAAATGCACTGAGTTATGATTAAATAACTATCATTATAATTTATATAATTTCTATTTGCCAGAGATCACGCAGTGTGTTTTATTTTAAATATAAAGAGACATGGAAATCTATTTATATTATTTTAAAGTTAATTGGAGATCTTTCTTTAACTCTTTTTTATCCTATTAAATAAGCGTTGCTTATGCTAAATCCTGGTGTGCAAAGAAAAAAATTAGCAGTGTCAGAGTCTTCATGTTAATATTTTACAGCCCTGTTTTGTGAACATGCGAATTGGTCTGTATTTCCTTGTAAGAAAAGAGAGAAGTTGATGAAGAGTAAAAGTCACTTGGGGCTTTATTTCTTGTACTCATTGTGCTTGCATACTGGGCAGTTTTTTGGTGAGTTTTTCATTTTGTGTTTTGTTGAGTGAAGGATAACACCTACTCCATCATTTTGTTGATGAATGAAAACCACACACAAGAAAAAGAAAAACATTTTACTTGTGATACTAATTCTACGTTTTTATCATTTAAAACAGCTTCTGGGTGTTGCATGGTGACAAAACAATGGGTGTTGGTCATATTCAGATAAATGCAAATTTGGCAGTAGTTTTTTCTCAAAATCATAAATTTTAATCTGCTGGCATAGTATTTATTTAAATAAGATGGCATATGAAAAAGTAGTATTTAAAATAACTGAGAAAAGATTTAAATTGTATTTTAATTTGTTTTATTTGTTGACAGACTATATTTTGTTAATTTGATCCACATTCCTTATTTTTATTGTATTATTCATAAAAGCCTAACCTTTATTTAAGAGCAAAATATGGAACTGTTGTTATAATATAAAAGTTAATGAATAAAATTTGTTTTATTTTGCTGTTCTATTGATATTGTTAGCATTTGATGCAGCAGACGTTGTCAACAATAATGCTCCCAGATAATTTTTCCACTATGCACATCACTTGAACCTTGTTAAACAGGCCATTTCCGAGTTCCAAAAAATCGCACTTTCAAAGCGATGCTAAGTGCAAAGCTATTGATATGAAAATGATTTTTAATTGTGATGCAAATAAAACTCATTTTCACAAAAAAGGTTTCGCACTTAGCCTCGTTTTGAAAGTGAGATTTTTTGGAACTCGGAAATGGCCTATTTATCTGGTGAAAGGCCTCCCCCCACCCCCAAAAAAAAGCCTTTTGTTTCATATGTCTTGTATATAGCCTGTGTACAGCTGTCCCCTCCCCTCAAGAAAAAAGAAACAGATATTATTTGAGGGGAGGGAATGGTTGTACACACGCTATGATGTGACATTCCACCAGTTTCCTTGGTTATTTTTTTTATTCATGTCATTACCCCGCAAAAACTTCGAGTGAGAAAACTGCATATACAAACCTTGATGGATCCACACCCCGTTATTAACCCTTTAAGTCCCAAGAGTGACCAACATCAGTTTTCTCCTCACAACATCAATGCATTAGCAAAAGTAAAGGTTATGAGATTTAATAAAATGATCATCTCAGGGAAAATGCTTTGATCTATTACCAAATTCTCTCAACTAATTTTTCAAGGAAATGTATGGAGGTCAGTTTGGAGAATTTGTTGGTGTATATCAGGGCTTAAAGGGTTAAAACAGGGTCAGCATACAGCCATGATCTTTGAACTTATGGCTACTGCACTGTTTAATCAGTTTATTAAATGATGCGTTGTACAAAATGACAAGAAGACTTCCCGTTAGTGATTTATTCTTATTCAGATGGAAGGTATGCTGTCTGTAAAAAATGAATTGTAAAAGGGTAAGGGGTAGGACTCCCCGTAAACAAACTTTGCTGAATACTCCCGGGAGTGAAGACTACTCACCTGACTGCTTAACTCCAGGAGCTTCTGTGCCTAAAATTCTTAATTGACCTAATTGTACTGCACCGTTGGTTCATCCAAATCACTTCTCTACTTCCAAGATTTAGCCACCCTACAAAGACAACTCTCCACTCAGTAAGGGGTTCTGGCCTATACGGGGACCGGGAGGCTCCACCTAATAGGGGTGCCTAGCAGGCGTCAGGTGTATAAATGGGTGGGGAATTTACGAAGCAAAGTATATGAAAGGGAAGGAAAATCTATCATTTTTAAAAGTATTTAAAAGGGCCTTGGTTTAAACTGTTTCCAACAGACGTGCCTTGTGGCCATATCATTTTAATTTATTAAATGTTACACGAAAATGACAAAAAGACTTCCTGATTTAGTCATGTTCTTATCAAAATAGGCATGTTAAAGGGGTACCATTTTTCAATAGAAGGTGTACATAGGAGATACCATTCCTGTCAAAAAGTTTGGACCTCTGGGCGAAGCCTCCCCGTATAGAGCTTGTTGACTGCACCCAACCCCCACCCCCCACCCCCCGGAGACATCTGCTCACAAATGTCTTCTCTCAAGGTCAATAGCAAAGCTATCTTCAATTCCATCTTTACCCATCTATAGATGTTGGAGGGGACTGCATTCAACAACTCTCATAACGGACACCTCTGTAAAATGGAGACCCAAAGCTAGTCCCTACTTTCTTTAATCTACTTGTTTGACTCTCTGTAAGACGGACATCTCTCTAAGATTGGTACCTGTCCAAAAGGTGACCGTTTTAGAAAGACCGTTGACTGTACTATGGCCCATCCAAAGTCACATCCGGTAGTGACGTAAACTATAATTAAAAATAAAATTGAATTAAAATCACAAAACCTTATTTTAAAAAAATGCCCTTTAACTCTAGGACATCGAATGCACTACATCTCCCATATTACCATTTTCTGCTATTTACAGTTGAAGAGCTGCAATTTCTTTAGCGGTGTACCGTACTGAACAAGAATAGAAGATATTGCTTGGATCTATTAAGCCCTTCATTTAAAAAATTTCTTGGTGCCCTGCCATAAACTTGTTTTCCTAGTTTTTCTTTTTAATTTTGACCCAAACGCAGTAAGCGCTATGCTTAGCATTAAATATTAAATTCATATAGCTTACTCAACCAGGAAAAAGCTTTATTTTGTCATAAAAAGATTCAAAGGCTAATAGTTGGTTTACCTTTCCTTTCCTTTTTCGCAAGGTTTATAAACAAATTTACTGCTTCTGTACGTTGCTCTTCTTGACTGCAATCACATTTTACCCCGGTATTTATACTTACTTTCTGTAACTCACGATGACATGATCCGGCATATAAGGGCGAGAAATCTCAACATGGACTCGTCACGTGAGAGGTCTGTATTTTTTTTTTGACCCAATTCCACAATGCCTCACTGAGCTCTAGACGTGATTCAGTTCTCTGTGGTATCTCCGTTTCTTTTCGAGCACGTGCAGTACACACTAGCCATGACGTGATTTTTCTTTACTCTGACTTGAAGTGACCCATTGAACCTTCGATCTTGACAACGTTACCTGAATAACGTTCCTTAAATGTCACGAGGATATTACGTTTTAGGTCAATTCTATGGTGAAGTCATTACATAAAGCCAGTTTACCCAAACACCAAATGCTCCTGTAGCGTAAATTATTCTGGTGTTTTTTTGGAGGCATTAGCATTAAAACTTGAAAAGGTTGGCCCATCGTTTTCAAGTTTTAATTCATGTCCATCCCTGCCATCCGTTGCAAAAGACCGGCAGGAAACGGTTTCAATGCCTAAATACAGTCGTAAATAACAAAACTGGACCATCATTTTAGGAATTCAATTGGTGCGAAAAAAGTTTTAGCTTTTTTAAAAGGTAGGAATTAAATAGATAAAATAATAGACAAATAAATAAATAACGATTTGCAGGTAGCACATCCACATAGTGGTTCTTCATCTACCTGATACATAACATACCGGTAGCCTTTTTAAATGAATAAATAAATAATTCGACTTTGTCACGGCGGACGCATGACGTTTGCCAAAGAAAGCATGACAACGGTTGCAGTCCTTCACGGCAGTAGCACGACTTGATTTCACACGTGGTACATCCGCCGTGACAAAGTCGAATTTATTTCTTATACTTAACTCCATCTTTTAACTTCCTCGATCATTTGAGTTCAGCTCGGCAGCAGTTAATAACGTTTGAAACGAGTCTTAGCCATGCCGTCAAAGAGTAAAACCATCCACTTTGTTCGACACTTCCAATCTACCTGGAACGAAGCTGAAGACGAACACAACTTGACGCGCTTCGACAAAGGACTACAGAGCGATGCTCTCTTGGATGCGCCCTTAAGCACTTATGGCAAAAAACAGGCGTTGACGATACAACAGAAAATTCAGGATCTCAATGCAGAAGTCGCCATCACTTCTCCTTTGAGCAGAGCAATCGAGACCTGTTTACTGACCTATGGAGATCAAAACGTGGTTGCTTCACATCTTTGCCGCGAGATAGGAGAATCGCTCTGTGACATTGGAACTCTGAAAGAAGACCTGGTCAAAATGTATCCAACAGTTGATTTCAGCAATGTGCCTCCCAAAGTTTGGTGGTATGTGGATGAAAAGCTGAAGGGTCAACTAACAGATTCAATAAAATGCTATGAATTTGTTTTAAACAACGGAACATGCAAGTTGGGAGAAACCTTCAAAGGAAGTCATTTTCAGGAAAGAATGGAACGATTTCACGATTTTCTTCAAAACCGACCTGAATCAAATATTGTAGTTTTCGCACACAGTGGGTTTCTAAGAAGCTTCCTTGAAAAGTATTATGGGAGACCATTTGAACAGTACTATCCA